TTTTGTAAATAAGCAGTATATATATTTTAATAATATAAGGATTGAGTTGGCTAACCGTATTATTTATGTAAACAAATAGCAAAAAAGGAAACAAATTTGTTTTTATTAAACATTTAACTATATACGCATCTCCATTTTAGTAAATTGAATAAACATAATTAACTATTCATTTAATATTCAACGTCAGAAGTTTTTTGTTATTATTCAATGCGATTGTTTCCTTTCACAATCAATTTAAAGTATATTAAGTACACAAAATTAAACTCAAGACATTATTATATACTTTTATGTTGCATTATTTAATAAATCACCCTGCAGACTATTATTGTATAATTCGTCCTCGTACATTTTAAGTCCAACTTTAAGACTTTAAGTCTGTAAACTATTGAAAAAACAACTCGTTGATCAGACGCCAAAGCGAATACAATAACGGTCATCTGACTCCGCAATTGCCAAGTTCTAAAATAAGTAGAGTACCACGACGTCGACGGGTCTCTCGGACATAAGGGTTACATTCTGTTCTCAGCCTAAAATTATATCATTCGGTCTGTACTTATTTTTTTTTCACTACAAATATGATTAATAATTTTATTTTTATCGAACCCACAACTCACGAGTCGAGACCGACACATCGAGTTTACTAAAACGTTTAGGTTTGGTAGGTATAAACCTCTTATTATAATTTACCCACGCAAATTAATTTCAATTGCTTATTATTTTTAATTTAAATCGTAATTTGTTTCATATTATATGACGTGCGGAACTGTCTATAGTATTAATATCTCTAATAACTGCCTTATAACATTTTATTACTATACCATATGATTTGATTTATCGTGATTTTATGAAACATTTTTTGGGTATAATAGGTACCGTAACTGTGAAGTCATGTGTTCAATACTCATAATATTACATTAGTTATCCGACGGTACACCTTTGAAGTATAAGAACAACATAGTTTTATTTTTTTCAATCTGCCCACGACCAAGCATCGGCCCCCGGACCTTTACTGGACTTAATCCGGTCTCGCCAATCACACCACGACTGTCGGCCGCGATATACCTATATAATAGTGGTGGACCATGGACCATGGACGTGATACCAGGTATATAGAGGATCTATATGAATATTATACGAAGCGTTTCTTAATACGTACGTACAAAGCGCGCGACGGCAGATTATTCTCTTATGATGTAGGTAAATATAGATGATATAGGTACCTGTGCTGCAGCACATTGTCTATTCAGTGTATAATACATATCATATATATGCTATAATATGCGCATAATCCTATAAGTTTGTGCCGCTCTAGTGAGTACCTATTATATACCGCATATTATATACCTGTATATTATGTTTAATTTATAGTAGGTTGTTAAGTGTTTTTCCTGCGGCTCATATTTACTCCATTTCCCGTGTTCTTGTAAAACTATATTTCTCTCGATGGAATCGTAGTTTTACACACTTAGGTTGATTATGGCGAGGGCCCTAGAGGATGAGGACTTTGCGTGCTCTCCACTCGTGGTGGCCATAAATGAGTTAGCGGTGGATATGGCCGATTTCGCTAGAATAAGACTTAAGAGCTCGCGGTGCGCACATACCGAAAAGGTCGGCAGCTATGTATTAATTGAATAACCCACCATGTATTTATAATATGTGTTATTATATATATACACGAGTGAAGTAGCTGCTGTAGGTACAGAGAGCAGGATAATATAATTATTAATTATCAAGTATGCGCGCATCATGCTCTTCGGTGATACTATGGTATTTATTATTGATTATAATAAACCTTTCATAAAACGTGTGGTAAATTTGACGTAAAATTATACGTCCACCCGCTGTGGCGGTCAGGAGGAATATATGGGAGATACAGGAGATGTATATATATATTATAGATAACTATATAATCATATTATAGTGCAATAAATTGGGCTTTAACACTGAATTCCTCAAATTGTTGGGAATCATGTAGATTTTAATAAATATTTACATACATACAATATACATAGATATACGCGGTTTTGCAAATTTCAAATTATTATATAATAGTATTTTGTGTTAAACACGCGATCCCGCATGTTGACGATTACTAAACAGATGAAATTAGGCAGTATTGAATTTATTTAAGAAAAAATGTATGTTAAATCGTTTATTTAAGTGTTAGGCAGTTATTTTTTTTTAATTGTACATTTTTCTTGAGTAAATTGAACTAAATGTTAATAGATTTTTTCAAAAGGTTATTCTTGGGAATTGTATTCATATTACGTTTAACTTGTGTCGATTTTTAATTTTTCTTTTGACAGGTCTTTCTTTTACACCCTGCAGCATACAAGTCGTATTTTATGTACGATATTTTATACGAGCTCTGGACATATCTAAAAACTCATTACAGTCTGTCTTTAGCAGTATAACTTCGAGCATTTTTTTTGTGCTACAAACTATTAACCAACACACCGTACTTTTAGCAACGGCGTTCGAGGTGCCTTTATTTATTTATTTTTTTTTTAAAGGGGGAGCTAACAAAAATCAATAGCTTGTTTTGTGCAGTACAGTAGATAGACGTATCGATTATTCACTAAGTAGAACAATGATTAGGGTTTTCCAGTTTTGTCTTATTATCATTTTTTTCTAGCCGAAGGGTTACTTTAAAAGTTTTAAGCACAAATTGGTTTGTAAATTTATCATGATGGCACTTATTTGAAACTGGATACTTGGTTTTTTTGAGTAGTTCCTTCAAGTATAGATAAAAAATAAAAAAATGCTTAATAGAAATATTATGGTAACATATTTTATTACTTTGTGGTTTTCACGAAATTGATTTGGGTTGTTTATTGTGCATATAATTTAAAACGTATTTAAAATATTTATTTGGTTAAGTATTTTCATGCAATTATGTTGAATATTTTTTTTGGTTAAATATAATTCAACAAAAACAATATATTTTGTAACTTTGAATTTGTAATTTTTCTAGCTGTATCAGCCGAACGTTCAATTAATAATAATTATATCATGTTATGTCTCATGATTTCCCATATGTAATTATGCTTTTATAAGTAGAACCTGCAGGTTCAGACACAATGGTAAATATCCAATGGAACATACAGCCAATGGTGAATGATGGTGTGCGTCGCACCATATTATACTGTTATACTCCGGTCATCGAAAAAAAAAACAGAACGGATGTCAGAATAATATATAATTATAGTTTTAAATATTTTGTGTAGTTCTTTATTTTAATATGTTGACCAGCGCTTGTTTTAAAGTGTCAAAAATAACTGTTTGGCTTCAAATACACTTTTGAAATTGGATTATCGGTTAAATTTTAAAACAAATCCTACCTATAAATTTATTATAATTACATCTCTACATTTTATATTTGACCAATCATGCAAACCACTATTAACCTGAATAAATACCAGTAATTGTTAAATTATGTAAAAAAATAAATAAATATTGTCGATCAATTTTGCAGATATTATATAATCATAGCGTATTATGTAATAATTAATTAACATACATAGATGACATATTAGTACTTATATCAAATTTCAGTTATAACATAAATCAATTAAACACTGTTTCTAAATATAATTTAGCTTTGCACCACCACAAAATATTTCAAACATTTTCAATGTTGCAAAATCACTATTTCGCCCCCATAATTGTAATCATGTTTTTTAATTGACTAGAAATTACACGAAACTCTACCTACCTACGTATTCCACAAAATTATTTGAACTAGCTGATCAATGGCCAACATAATATTATACTGTTAAATACATGTTTCCCTTTGTACCTTTCAATATTTCCAGTGAATGATTTTAATTTAAAATAATCAATTTCGAACTTTATACGTATTATATTGTAATTTATAAAAGTCTAATTTTATACCAATTATTTATTCCCATATTTAATATATTTAAATAAAATATGTGAACGAAATTGAATGTTTCATTTTTATTTCAAGATGTACCACTAACAATATTGAGCCTAGATAAATAGTTTTTCATCTAGACGAAGATAAAGATAATAGGCCTAAAGTCTATTAAGATAAAGATAAAAATGAGCTGAACTACAATAATCTATTTAATAGATAAAAGAAATTAAATAAAGATAAAGATAAATTCATTCATTTTTATTATTTATTCCCTTAACATAATTTATCATAAATATGTCGTACATTAATGTCTACTTATATTGCAGTACGTAGTTTGATGTTGAACATAAATATTCAACATAATATTATGTTGACTTTGAGTTGAGACATTTTGAGTTAATACTGAGCATAATTGGCTTACTCCAAATTTATCTCGAACATATCGCTATATCGCTGCAAACCAGTAAACATAATATGTTTACATACTAACTAACTTATAGTATTTACTGTGAATAAACCAGTATCAAATAGGTTACGAAGTCTGTGGTTAGGTACCAACAACCTATTCCAGAACATCCGAATTTTATTGATCGAATATCCAACCATTTATTTAATTTATTTACCCCGATTAGAAATCATTCGAAAATCAACTAGAAAGGCTTGAAATATTATATCATCACGTATTACATTTTAAATGCGATTCATACTTCGTTAATTATATTTATACTCTCAGAGACTTGTTTTAATGTGTTGAACCAACATATACGCGTATATATATACTGTCATCTTACAATATCTAGGTATTACATATTCATATATGTTATACCACATACTTCAATAATTTCTTTTAAAAAAAAGTCAAAATATTTATTTATCTATGACGATTAGAAATCATTACTTCTCAAAAATCTACTAGAATAACTCGAAATACGATAATATTAACACGATAAGACTTATTTGAAAAGCGCTAACCCAACATATACGCGTCAAACATATTGTCATTGCACTATACCAGCCAGGACCTAAGTATTGCTCGTTGCCTTTCACATGATTCGGTATTTTAATTAAAAACAAAAAACTATTTGATAACGAATAAAACGATTGGCTGAAAGACACTTACCTCCGACGCCGGCGTTCGTGATGGTCACCCAAAAGTCGATGGTCTTCTCGGGGCCCAACTCCTCGTAGTCCCACTTCTTCTTGACCCGGACCGCGCCGTTCGGCTCCACTGTCACCCACGGGTTCTCGTCCCGGATCTTGAACGTCTCCTTCTCGGTCTCCTTCTCCAGCGGGAACACGCTCCGGCCCTCCTGTTCGCCGTCGGTCTCGGTGAACTCGATGCGCTTGGTGGGCCGCACGGCCCGCGTCACCCGGCGCTTGTACACCCGGTGGTCGGCCGCGTCGTCGTAAGCGCCAAAGTCCTGCATGAGCACGTCGTCGTCGAGCACGACGAAGTTGTATTGGATCCAGACGGTGGCCGGACGGTCGGCGACGCGGGACGGCTCGCGCAGGTCGTGAGCGTCCACGGTCAGCTGACACTCGAAGTACTCGCGGGACCGCAGCACGTCGTCGGACACGAGCAGCTCGCCGGTCTGCGGGACGACGACGACGGCTGCGCTGGGCGCGGACAGTCGGTACGCGACACGGTCGCCATCAGCGTCCACCGCCGACACGCGGCCCACGGCCGAGTACCGGCCCGGGCCGGCCGTTCCGTTGTCCAGGCCTAACGCGAACCCGTCCACGTTGATCTTGTACAGGGCCTGTCCGAACACGGGGCTGTTGTCGTTCTCGTCCAGCACGTCCACGTGCACGGTGGCGTACGCCTTGTCGATGCCGCTGCCGTCGGCCGCCTGCACGATCAGGTCGTACGACGGGCGCTGTTCCCTGTCCAACGGCCGCTTGGTGACCAGGTGCACGCCCCGGTAGTACGACTTGTTGGTGATGTTGCCGGCGATGATGTTCTCGGCCGTCTTGAGCGCGAACGCTCCGTCGTCGTTGCCGTCCACGATTGCGTACCGTATGGGCAACCCTGCCACGCCCTCGCCGAACGCGTGCAGCACCGGCACGCCGCGGACCCTCGTCCCCGGCGGCTTGTTCTCCGACACCTTGCCGTCCGGGTAGGCCGCGTCGCCGGCGAACCGCAGCATCTCGCGCTTCTCCAGCACGAACAGCTGCATGTTGTGCGTGAACGTGGCGTTCGGCGACTCCTCCAGCACCACCAGGTTGACGGGCCGCTTGACCAGCAGCCCCAGGTCGGTGGTGGTCATCAGTAGCCCGTCCTTGAGCACGGCGAAGAACTGCGAGAACCCGGTCTCCAGCAGCCGGAAGTACGCGTACTTGTTGTCGCTGGCGAACTGCTTGATGCCGTATCCCGGGTACACGTCACTGGGCAGTATCGCTATGTTGTGGTGCATGTGCGGCGACAGCGTTGCACCGCCGTCGCTGCATCCGGCGCGCGGCGCGCAGCACACGGCGGCCAGGGCTACCGCGGCCACGGCGGCCGTCAGCAGCGCCGACGTCCTCGCGGACGACGTCTTCATCGCGGGTCCGCTCTCCGACCCCCGCGTGTCCGTCTGTCTGTGCGTGGTCACTGTCTCTTCCTCGGTTTTCTCTCTGCCTCCGTTTGTATTTGTTATCGTAATTTTTCTGTGATAATATTCGTGACGAGTGAACGCGTCTTCTCTGAAATACAACAAATCCATACATTAAATCTCTATATTTCACAGTTGTACACAATTTTACGATGATATTATACATTTTGGCTAACAGGAGTAGACGTCATAATAATATATGATGTCTACGTGGAGACACGATAATTGTTCATGATAATACACACATATGGGTAGGACGGGTAGGTACTAGGTAGGTGATGTATATTATGCGAGGTCACTCCAAGTTCAAAATTAAAACCTTTATTTCTATCGGTTTCCGGTTCGTTCGGTTGAAATATTATAATATACGAACGTAAAAATACGATTAATTCGATGACGATTTTCCACGCGTATTTTTAACGTAAAGACGCGAATAGAAACCTAACGTAACCTAACCTCGAAGACGGATGAAAAAAACATTATTTCTAGAACAATAATAATATCATAAGAATGTAAATCATAAAAGTAATCGTTGTTGTATAAGAGTGTTCACGAGTATGGGTACATATTTTTTTTTTTTTTTTTTAAGTTCATTTGTGAACATTTTTAAACGCCGAATATTCGTGTACTAATTAGGTACAATAATGGTTAACATAAAATCTGTTACCAATAGCAACCGTTTGAGTAAACAAAAAGATATTCGTGAGCAAAGCCGAATCCACGGCGGCGAGCTACTCCCTAGCTATAGCAACCTATAAACAATAGGGGTTGAAAACACGAACTATAAACACTTTCCGATAGTCCCGAGGAATTTATCGATATAACTTTTATCGAAAACGCGGTCCAGTGGTTTATGAGTGTATTGTGTACAGAAGACGAACGCGGAAAACATTCGTTTTTATGTGCTCACAGCAGATATACACGGATAGAGGGCCAATCGAGAAGCAAATCGTGCCGAGGCGACATATATTATTTTGTTTTCCGACTCCACCGCATTGTGCGCTGAACTGAATATCATATATGGAACGAGTATTGTGCATGGATTCTAATAAGAACCGTCTACAGAGGCCACCATTTTGAGTGTGTCAGTGTTCTGTTCCGCGATTTTTCTTGGATTGAATTATTTCACTATCTCGGGCTACTAAAACTCTGTATGATATTCTGTAATATTGACCAAAAATAAAATGGGACGTAGGTACCTATAGTACACCAGTAGTTACCGTGATGGTTATATGCGGTTATAGACATCGGTTACGACAAAGACCAAGGTCTACCAATCCGGTATTTGCCAAATTTTGATTTGAATATTTGAATATTTTTTTACTTTTATTTTTTGTGTTATCATTGACTACATTAATTACCCACTGAATTTCAGTGTTTGTGAGTTATTATTGAAACCCAAAAAGTACAAATTTAAATGGTATCAGCACAACCTACATCAAACTACTTATAGATATAACTAGTATCCTCTCCGGCCACATTTTTTGAATACACGGCACGTCCCATCCGTGTATATTTTATTTATAAGCCATTAACCGTGAGTGGTATTTTCGCTTTTTTATGGTAACAAACACTATCGGATATCGCGCAGATGAGTCGTATACATTGTATATTCCACGCCAAGACTCAAAACGACAGCCTATGCTGAGGTGGGACGGGTTTTTTGATCCAATGATCTCGATTCACGTATTCAGTTCAGTACGGAGGATATGAGTCTCCCAGGCTGTCGTAGAGTTCGTCTGCAGGAATGCGACTAAATATAATATTATATAGATATGATCGCAACTTGGTGATCCGCAGGTGTCACGGACGCCACTGGCAGTGCATATTATTATATCATTTCAATTCGTCAGCCATCAAAACAATACAAATTCTTAATGCCATTGGTAAATAAATCTAAAAATCACTGCCAGCCGATGAGATTCTTACAGCCGGCCCTAACGAAAATTCGATCATACCTAAACATTTGGCCTCGGGCAGGTGTGTGGGTGTGCGCAATGTGACGGTTGCAATCGGACCTCGGGGAGATATTACATAATGGGTTTGATTAAAATACTGTGCGATAGAAAAGTGTTTACGACCACAAACCGTGTTAAACTGTGTACGGTGGTTTCTACCTATATATAATATATACCTACATTACATGATGACGAGGTCTAAAAGGAATAACGGACGTACAACGATAAAAGTATAAAAGTAAGCCGTCGCCGTATCTTAAGTATGTTATTATCAACTATACAGTGATGGCCGAATTGAATTTTGGATAATGTAGTCATTAACTTAGGGTGGGCAAGACGTCGTCGTAGGTTCAAGCGCGTGTCGCTTAATACTTCGAGTGAAACGACAGTATCCATTGAACACGTCACATTTTTCTTTTTTCGTAATAATATTTTTAAACCTTTTATCGAAACCCGAACCGGTCGCGGGGGAGGTTCTGAAAGCATTTCCAAAAACCGTAACGCTCGCGTTTTAAACACAGTTTGGTACACCTATATAGTATAATATTATCATCGTATTATATAATATGTTTTATGTCGCTTTGTGATTACTTTTTTGTTTTATTTCGAACGTTCAAAAATAGGTGTGAGTACACCGCGACATTGTCGTGGGCCTTCTCCCCCCCCCCCCCTAGAGAGCGCATATATTATTATGTCCTATACGTCTGAAGCATATTGGTACGCGGTCGTAAAGTGTTAAACAAATACCCGTGTACCTCTACAACGTATAAATGTATTTCGATCGTTTAATGCACATACACACACACGAATAACGACGGAACGGATTTGGTTAAAATAATATATTTATATGTACATTATGAGCGGCCGTATTAAGATAATATACTTGAAAAATCGAAACCCGACATATAACACAAGAGGAAGAATAATATTATTCCGTTGTTTGTACAATATTATTATGATAATAATAATAATAATAATAATAATAATATGGTCCTCGTTTGTACGGACACCGCGAGAGCGGCCAATAAAAAAGATAGTGGGCATACATATTATAATATATAGGTATATACCGAATAGAGATGTCGGCGTGCGTCTTGTTTCGTGACATTTACCCGAAAGAATAAACGATATAATTCCCAAACACACACACACACACACACAATATATATTTATTATTATTATATTATTATTATTATACCGCCCATGGCGAACGCTAACGCAGAGGACGTATAATGCAGTCGTGGTACAATACACGACGACATCGTCCTAAACGATGTTATAAACGTTTCAATTTAAAATATTCAAAGAAATAACGTCCAACGATGCTCGGTCCCGGGACGCACAGAATTAAGGTCCAAACGATTAATTTTCCAAAATTTGTGCGGCATCCAAAGTCACAGGTACACAAGCGACGTTTTTAACCGATCTGTGTATAGATTTTATTCTCGAATAACTTAACTGTTACGATACAATTATATTATTTTGTTCCCAGACATCGTCATAATCGTCGTCGTCGTCTTTCACTATAGATCAAACATCGACCTCGCAGTTTTTGGACACGACTAAATAAAGACGAATGGGTACGCCCCTCGAAATTTTTTCAGACTTATTTTACATTGACATTTCGGTACCGGAACACAATATAATATACCCATGTATAATATTGGAACGTCGAGGGAAGCCCTTGAACTTGGATTTAATAACTATGCGTACGAAATACGAATATGCCAGGTAAGTAAAAACAATTACATTTTATCGTTGTTTTATATTTGTGTAATAACGTCGAAATTTAAAACGATTTTCTCAAATCGGTAGCACCCAACTAAGTACTGTGCTTAAAACATCAGTACACGAAAATCGCACTATATTTTATATATTATATAATAATTATATGTGGGGTTCTAAGATCTGACGAAATATTTAATTTTTATGAATATTGAAATGATCGAATTTTTGTTTTAAGCTATAGTAGGAAGTTCAGTAAACACTCAGTTAAATGTCATAGAAATAATGCTTACATCGTACAATAAATTACATAATAATTATCTATCTTATATATGTATATGGCATCGCTACATCGCGATCAGGAATTAAATATTGATAGACACTAATCATGACATCAGTCTATGACCATCTCATGATCCATGAAACATACGAAATTAAAAAGAAAAAATTAAAATTGAAAAGATTACATTGAAATATTTCAAAGTGAAAATGTCATACTCATCACCCTGATTATAATATATGCACCTACATCACGGTCTCGTAAAGAATACTTTACATGAATGATAAATATCTGTACGTTTGTAGAAGTGCAGTTATATTATATGGTTTCTGAACGTTATTAATAAATATTCAAACGAAATAATTCGCAAATACGTTATGTGATTGCAGGCTTAAGAATTTCAGATGTCGAGTATCTATTGCGATTGCACTTTAATCAGGTCAAGTCAAACTTCAGCTAGGATGTTCTGTTACGTCTCGGCTAACTTATCGTTTTCTAGAAGCGTAGTTGTGAGACATTGATTTGAGAGCGATTTTTAAAATGCCCGCAGTGGAATACGAGACAAAAATATTGAAACACGGCGGTAAGAAGCAAAAGTATTTATAAGTATATTCCGGAAGAAAATATACGAAGAAAAAGTGTATAGGTATTCGACAGTTATGTATTCGAAATAAAGTACCTACCTGTTTAAGTACAAGCATTCGCGTAGTACTTAGCGAGACTGATATATATATATGTATATATATATTGTATGCCCATACTTGTACAGTACATAATACACTATATTATGTTATTTACTTATTACTTCAAAGTCGGCGTATTTAATGCCAAACATCAATAGCTCACATTATTATACGTTATACGCATTATGTTTTGTGCAGTTTAACTTTGATGCTGTAGGTAGTTCAAAACACAAATATTATAACATATATAGGTATAGTTACCTACTCGTTTGTATCACACAAATCTGTTAATAATAATATACCATTACCTGGGTAAACCGCGTATATAGCGTGTGTTATACAGAGTAGAGCGTTTATCGGAATTAATCGCAGCGTTTTTTCGTAATGTAATATTATATTAAACACTGCAGTGCTTCACCCAACAGCCCTCATTTTTTTCCTTTAA